TCCCCCCCCTCCAGGGCAGCTCCACGCACCAACCAGCCAGATCCCCACTGGGGCCCGCCCCCCACGCCCCCACCACTCGCCTCCCCCCCCCCCCCCCCGGGGCCACCCCACCTGCTCCCCCCCCTCCAGGGCAGCTCCACGCACCAACCAGCCAGATCCCCACTGGGGCCTGCCCCACACGCCTCCCCCCTGCCCCGGTCCCACGCCTCCGCCCCCCCCGGTCCCGCCCCACATGCCTCCCTCCCCTGGCCGCCTCACACACCTCCCCCCTCGGTCCCACCCCACACGTCTCCCCCCACGTCCCCCCCATCCCACCCCACACGGCCCCCCCAGGGCCACCCCATGCGTTAACGGCTAGATCCCTACTGGGGCCTGCCCCACACGCCTCCCTTCCCGGTCTCACCCCCCACGCCTCCCCCCCAGGGCCGCCCCACACAGCTCCTTCCATAAGGTCTCTCCCTGAACCCCAGCCCTGCAGGAGGGACCCCTAGGAGGGTTTGTTTCCAGCCCCGGGGGAGGGGGGGTGAGTTGTACTTACGGGCGGCCCCTTCGGACCTCGGAAACCGTTGGGGCCCTGTGACCCCTGGGGACCCTGGGAGAGCAGGAGAACAGGGGTGAGCACAAGGGGGACAGTACCCAGACCCCCCCTCAATTCCCCTCCCCCACCCTCTCCCACAGCCCCCCTGGGCCCCTGTATTCCCCTCCCCCGCCCCTTAGCCCCCCCTCCCCGGACCCCTGTACCCCCCCTTCCCCCCAAGCCCCACAGAGGCCCTGCCCCCCCAGGAGGCTGTCCCCCCCCCAGGGCAAGGGGGGGTCAGTGGGGATCCCCTCCACGCCCACAGACACTGGCCAGCCCATGGGGTCCCCGCTCAGACTCACCTTCTCCCCCCCAGTTCCGGGGGCCCCGTCATGGCTGGCGTCGCCCTGGGGACAGAGAACCAGGCTGAGGGCGGCCAGGCTTCCCCACAGGGACGGGGACCCTGCGCCAGAGCACGCACCAGCCGGGGCACGGGCAGCAGGGACGGGCACCGGGTAGGGGTGAGTCGAGGGGATGGGGACAAGGCAGGGACTGGGGGGGGCGGAGCAGGGGGCGGGATGCATGGCAGGGGTGCCAGGGGAGGAGGATGGGACGCTGGGGGGGCACCGGGGCACTGGGGGATACCAGGCCCCCAGGGGGCACCAGGCACTGGGGGGTGCTGGGAGGCACCAGGAGGGCACCGGGGGGGCACCGGGCGCTGGGCAGAGGGAGGGCTCTGGGTAGGGGTGAGTCGAGGGGATTGGCACGAGGCCGGGACTGGGGGGGGTGGAGCAGGGGGCGGGATGCATGGCAGGGGTGCCAGGGGAGGAGGATGGGGTGCTGGGGGGTACCGGGCACTTGGGAGCACCGGGCATGGGGGGGCGCTGGGCAGAGGGAGGACACTGGGTATGGGGGCAGAGGTCAATGGGCTGATGGCAGGGAGCTGGATCGGGTCCCCAGCGCCCCATGGAGTGGGGCCAGGGTGCTGTACGCATGGGGCAAGGGGGCTGAGACTGGGCACAGGGGGTCTGGCTAGTACCCGGCAGGTGGACACCGACACAGATGGACGGACGGAGCGGGTGGGGCTGGCGCTGCACAGCCAGACCCTGAGGTACCTTCGGGCCCGGCTTCCCCGTCGGCCCCATCTGGCCTCGCTCCCCTGGCAGGCCCTGGGCAGAGAGAGGGAGAGCGGGATGAGCAGGGGCAGCGTGGGGCAGGCTGCCGGAGACCGGCCTGGCGGATGGGGGGCACCGGGGCCTGCTCAGCGCTGGGGGGGGGCTCTGGAGCCCAGTTGGGGCCGGTTACTGTGGGGGTGGGGGGCTACAGGGCTCGGCCAGTCACTGGGTTTGGGGGGGGGCTCTGGGGCCCAGCTGGGGCAGGTCACTGTGGGGGTGGGGAGGTTCTGGGGCTGGTCACTGGGGTACTGGGGGGGGCTGTGGCCCAGCTGGGGCTGGTCACTGTGGGACGTGGGGGGCTAAAGGGCTCGGCCAGCCACTGGGGTATGAGAGGGCTCTGGGGTGTGGGGTCCTGGGGCCCAGCTGGGGCCGGTCACTGGGGTATGGGGGGCATCAGGGCTGGTAGCTTGGGAACAGGAGGGCTGTCACCGGGGCCAGAACCGGCTCCTTGGCCTGTCCCCCAGCGCTGAGGGGGGCCGGGGAGGTCTGGGGCCGCTCACCGGAGGTCCACGCTGTCCCGCCTGCCCGGCCTGTCCAGCCTTGCCCTGCAGGGGGAGAACAAAGCGGTAGCGTGGGTGAAATACGGTGCGTGGCACTGCCCTGCCCCATGGGCACACGCGCCCCACGCCTGCCACCACCTGGGAGTCAATATTTAGATCAGGGCCCGGCTCACTCACCCTCTTTCCTTTCTCCCCAGCGAGCCCCAGGGGGCCCGGGAAGCCGGCAGAACCCTGCAGGAGAGAGGACAGGTTAGGGGGGCGAAGCTGGGGGGCCTGGGGCCCCCTCCCAGGATGCCGTGGGCTCCGAGGCCCCAGACTCCTGCCCCCCACTTACCTTGGGGCCCTGGCGCCCCGGGTAGCCCGGCAGGCCTGGCATGCCCAGCTTGCCCTACAGGGAGAGAGAACGGAGCTGAGAGGCGGCAGGACTCCGAGCCGGACGCGGGGGCGAGGGGACGGGGACGCACTCACCTTCTCCCCCGCCAGGCCGGAGGCGCCCGCCTCCCCCACGGGGCCCAGCTGGCCCTTCAGCCCCTCGGGGCCGTCCTCCCCCCGCGGCCCCAGCGGCCCCACGTCACCCTGCAATGGAGAGAGAGATGCCCCCCAGTGCCGGGATAGCACGGCATTCGGGACTGGGGCTATCCCTGTGCCGCCCCCTTCACCCCCTCGCCCAGAGCCCCCCTCCTGCCCCCAAGTCCCGTCCCTCCCCGTCCTGCCCCACACCCAGAGCCCCATGTGACAAAGTGGGGATGTTCTTAATGTTTCCTCTGAATACTGTGTGGGTGACTCAGTTTCCCCTATGCATTTCTTAAGTCTCTAGGTGGTGGGATAAAGGCCAGTGCGCATAAATCACTGACACTCTGTCTCCTGGCAACTAATGGCCGGGGCCTTTTCCCCCTGCAAGAAAATAGCTAAAGGTGAACAAAGAGATCAGGTGACCTCCTGGCTCCGGAAAGGAACTTAGCAGAGGAGGGGCTGGAGGGGGTTTCAGTTTGGGGCTGGCTGGGGACGGGGAGTGAGGGCAGACGGGGGTGTCTGGGTCGCTGGGCCCCAGAATGGACCCGGCTGAGGGGTCCTGTTCTCTGGACCTACAAGCTCTGTTTTAGACCATGTTCCTGTCACCTAATAAATCTCTGTTTTACTGGCTCGCTAAGAGTCAAAGTGGGGGTGCAGGACCCTCACCCTCTGGGGGTGCAGGACCCTCTGGGCGGACTCGCTGTGAGAAGCGTGCGGTGGGGCAGATGCTGAATGCTTCCAGGAGAGACCCAGGAGGTGAAGCCGTGTGAGCTTCTTGCCCTGAAGATGGTCTGCTCCGAGGGAGAGGAGGCTCCCCAAAGTCCTGACTGGCTTTGTGGGGAGCAGTTCCAGAGTATCGCCTGGGGACTCTGTGACACCCCCCCCCACCCTCCCTCC